GCTCAGCGCATACCGACCAGCTGGCTGCAATCCCAAAAACATCCTCCAGCCCTATAGGATCCCCCAAAGCAACCACTGCCATCCTTGAGGATCCTCACACCTTCTTCTAAGGTATCTGGAACCCTAGAGCACCAGCTTTTCTTATCTTTTCTTGGAGCATAAATATCAAAAATTGAAAGACCTGGTCACAAGAACATGGCCCTCTCTCATGTTTTGATTAAATGTTTTGGTTTTATTGCAAGAATATTCTGGTTCATCTTATGGTGGTTGCTTCAAAGTGGACCTTTTTTTTTTTTTTAATTAGGGGCATTTCCAGATCTGCATTCTATGGCAAAATCCACAGGCCTCCAGGACCCTCATTCTGGGAGAAGAGCCCTCTTGTACCCTCAGTGTGAAGAAGGACAGGTCACCTCACAGACCACTGAGCAGTTATCCAGGAGCCCATTGCCTGGTGTAGATGAGCACAGGAGAATCAGTCAATTACACAGCCAGGGCTTGAGCCACATGCATTTGTTCATATTCCCTGAGGTTCTCCTTAGTTCTGTTCATGTCCATGATCATCCAAGAAGAATAGCTTAGGTTAACTGAATGTTTGATATATGCAAAGCATAGTGCACAGGACAAAACATAGTGCAAAAATTTAGTCTTATTATATTAACTTGGAAGTACTGCAATTCTCAACACCATTTATGGATGGCATGAACAAGGTTCAAAAGTATGTGTAACCTGGCCAAGTGTTCAGACTAGCACAACGCTACAGCAATAAGCAAACCTTAACCTAGACAGCTCCTTTCAAGGGGTCTAAACTCTCTTTCAGCCTCTCCTGTTATGGATGCGCTCTATGTAGCATTTCTAGCCACCTGCAATCTAATATATCTGTATATATTAGGTTTTTGTCTTCAGTTCCGGGTATGGAGCTCCTAAACCCCTTAGAATTTCCTAAGTGAAAGAATTGTCTTTTGTTATTCATCATAAGTCCCTTTGGACCATATTTAAGTTTAAACTCCTGAAATATCTTGCTGAGGGGTGCCAGAGAAACCTATCAAATGACAAGGGGAATGGATTTAATCCCACCATCCCCATTTTATCTCCAGAGAGGAAAGAGGGGTTGGGATTAGAGCTCAATCAGCCATGACCAGCAATTTAATCACAGACATCTTGTCAGTTAGGAGAACTATAACAAAATATCTCAGCATCTTACATAAAGAGCAGAAACCTATGGCTAACTGTTCTGATGGCCAGGAAGTCCAAGATGGAGACACCAGTAAATCCCATGTCTAGTGAGGGATCACATCCATAGCAAGTTCTGAGTGTCTCTCATGTCTAAAGAGGTGAATGAGCTTCCTTGAGCCTCTTTTGTGAAGGTATTAATCCCATCCTGGGGCTGGGGATTTAGCTCAGTGGCATAAGCGCCTGTCTTGCAAGCAGGCAGTCGTGAGTTTGATCCCTGGTACCGATAAAAAGGAAAAAGACAAAAAAATAAATAAATAAATAAAATCCCATCCTGAAGGCTCCACTCTCAAGAATTAATCACCCAAAGACCCCACCCCTTAATACTATTGCAGTGAAAATGAGTTATCAATATATGAATTTGGGGGAACCAAAACTATAACACTTAGAGACCTTGTCCATAGCTTGCATCTGAAAAAAGACCAGACCTGTGGAGCAGTCTGGGCTAATTCCAAGCAGTTAGTATCAGAATTGAGCTGAGTTGTAGGACACCCAGTTGGTGTTTGAAGAATCTGAGAATGACTTTGATGTAGTTAGAAAAGCCACTATAGGGGCTGGGGATTTAGCTCAGTGGCATAAGTGCCTGCCTTGCAAGCAGGCAGTCGTGAGTTCGTTCCCGGTACCAGGAAAAAGACAAGAAAAAAGAAAAGCCACTATGTAGTTCCACTGAACCAGAAGCCTCCTGGGTCCAGGGCAAGACGACAGCCATTAGTTCTAAGACATCAGGCCACTGAGTGGGTGGTACACATGCTTTTGTCCCTTCTTTGCAGTGTCAGGTACTCAATCTCCAGTTATAGCTTGGCAACCTCTCCATCTTCAGTCAAATTAGTGAAACAGACACTCCCTAGGTCAGGAAGGTGAGCGTGGCCTTCAAGGCCACAAAACCGGAGGTCATAAAGAAAGTTGGTGACAGAGCAAGAACCCAGTGATTGGGACACTGTCCCTATGCCTTACTGTCTTCCAACCTTCCAAAACATCTTTCCTCATTTGAAGCTATAATACTTATTTCTATAGGACCAGTACAAGATTGAGTCTCCCATGAAGCTTTAGCAGCTTGCTTTAGGACAAAATAAAATTGGTTCCCAGCTCTACATTACCCTCATCCCATACTCCAAGTCAGATCCCCCCAGCCCCAGGCAAGATAATTGGGCATTACATCCAAACTCCTCTCCCCCCACCACATGTGGTGTGTGCCCAACTTTTAGCCTCCAGTCTTAATGCCTCTGTTCTCTGAAGACACAGGGAACCAGGGCAGGTGGGAAGGGAGATGATTCCAGAAAGGCCCCATGAACTGTCAGCAGCTGCCCTAGCAAAGCTAATTCACGACCTACAGATTCCTGAGCGTGACGGCTGGCTGGGCATCCATCATCAGCTCCATCCTCCCAAGGAAACGTCTTTTTTAAAAGGGGCTGCCACAACAGCAGCAGGGAAACATGGGAGGCCAGTTCTATCCCTGGATTGTTGGAAGGTGAAGGAAGGGAGGGGGCACAGAAGAGACCTGGAGAGCTGCCACCAGAGTGAGGCCGGTGACAGGAAGAATCTATCAATCTTGCATGCAGAGCCAAATATGGAGCTTGGGCTCAGTAGGTAATAAACAATGGTCACATTGCCGGCTCAGCAAGAAGAGATGTTACAGACAGGGCTTGGGCAGCTGACGTCACCATGTGTGGTCACCACTGCGTGTGGTCTGCAGGCTTTGGGAGACTATGTTTGGCCTTGTGAGCTAATGTGTTTTTCCTTCATGGGCTAAAAGCAAGAAGGTAGAAACTGAGGTCGGTTTCCCAAGGCCATGTTGAAGGTGCTATCTTAGCACTGCCTACTCCTAGGGCTCCCCAAGGTATGGTGTGGACCAACCCTTACATGACCTTCTTTACCTGCTCCCCCAGTGTCACCTACCCATGGGCAGTGAGGGCAGCTGTTGTTCCTGGATGTGGCTATAGCTGGGGAGTCATGTAGCATAAGTGGCTTAAGCATGTGACATCAAGACTTGGGTGTTGGTTACCCTTGGCCAGTTCCTTTTATCCTTTCAGTATCCTGGGAGAGATACTGTCTTCTGGCTGGCTCCATCTCAGGAGGGTGTGAGGACAGCTTGACTAGAAGGGCAAACACTCACACATAAAGATCCAGAGTGAACACATTTTCTACTCCAGGCCAAATAGTCAATGTAGATAGTAAGCATAGCAGGATCAGGAACAATGCAGGGGTATCTTCCCACCCCCAAATTTCTATCCCTTACTTCGTAAATGAGGTTGGACCCGTATTTTTGTGCATAGTTTTGTTTTGTTTTTGAATCGGGGTCTCACTATATAGCTCACACTGGCCTTGAACTCACTATGTAGCCCAGGCTGGCCTCAAATTCATGGCAATCTTCCTGCCTCATTACAGGCATGTGCCATCACACTGGGCTTGTTTTTGTGAATATTTGGACTTTTCGTAACAATGCTATTTATCTGGAGGCAATGTCCTACATAGCTACCTTAAAAAAAAAAAAAAAAAAAAGGCAGCGAAGGAGTGGTGTGAAGCTGTGGTGAGAAGTGCACAGGATTTTGTTTGAGTTGGAAGATCCAGTTTGGAATCTCAGCCATGCCCTCACTAGCCCAGAGACATTGAAGAGAGGTTGACACACCGCTTCCACCTGCACATTCACAATCTGAGTAACTCCACCTCCTCAGCAGGGGCTTTGAGAGGTTCAGAAATTGAACTGGAAAGACCCAACATGATAGAGCCTCAATACATTATAGCTGTTTGTAAACAAATAAGGATCCTCCACATGGAAATGGAGACTCACCTATAGGTTACTAATGTCTAGGAACTCTCTTTATCCTGCTATCTGTTCCTGGGGCTCAATGCTCTTTTGAACAGGCTGTGGCTTTAAAAATGCAAATAGCTCCTGCAAAGGGGAAAAAGCTTTCCCAAGAGGAAGCCAAAGGGCATCCTGTTCTGATTAGCACCATCTCTGTCTGGACTCTAATGCTTGCACCCACATCCATCAAAGAGTGCTGAGCAGGATGCAGAGGCTGCTTTGAAGTGTGATTGTGGGCCTGATTATTAGACTCAAATACATCACCCTCATCTTCCTGAAAGGCATCACTTCAGCTTTCAGAAGCCTTGGCAAGAGCCACCAGCCTGCAGTGGGGCTTTCGAGGGTATCACTGAAGGCAACGTGGCAGCCACACTTGGCCCAGGGAGGGATGGTCACCACATGCATCCCACATCCTTGGCCCACGTCCCTTGGAGCCATTCCCACGTACTCTCAGCAGTCACTGCCCAACTGGAAAATTAGGAGAGCCTTGTGCATTTGCTTCGTATTGTCAAGGATGGAAAACCCCAGTTCTTTTCCCAGAAGGAAAATATCTTTGCAGCCATCAGCCTAAACCTCACAGTCATGGAGGAATAACGTGCTAAGGAGGTATAAACTCTGAGGGACCAAAACTGCAAGGTGAATGAGGTAAAAATGGGAAATGAATGAGGATATCAAGAGCATATGTGAGTCATTATTAACACAAGAGCAGGAATTAAGCTTAAAATATGACTTCCTAGTTAGTTGTAAGTTTGCAGTTCACATTTCTCCCACAATGAAGCTATATTAAAATAGTAGATTAACTAAATAAATAAAGAATAATAGAAGAATCTGATGATTGTCATTTGTCACCCACAAAGATCCACATTTCCATTATGTGACAACAAAATCAGTAATCTAAATATTAACAAGTAGAGCACATTATAAACAGTTATATATTGTTATCACCATGAAGTCATTGCAACAGAAATAAAAACTGTCTTTTTATTTTAACTATTAATATTCATCAAATGTTAATGAAAATACCTAACAAATAATTATGAAAAACGTATCACTTAAGTAATAAAGATGAAAGAGATGATAATTGTTGTGAATATTTAATCTGCAAAATAAAGAACATACCATTAATAAGACTTAATTATGTCATTAAATATTTAGTTTTACTTTCATTACTAAATTTTGTTTGCATTTTGCATATTTTAAATATAAAAGGCTCCTTAATAAGATTTGTAGTTTGAGCAACACCAACTGCCAAGCCATTTAAGTTTGACTTATTGTCTTTATCAAATTGGTCAAACACCACTTGATTTATCATTAAGTGAAACAAATAACCCTCTTTGCAGTTGACTACAAGTTATACTTTATCTATAAGGGACATTTAATAATTGATTCTGGGTTATATCCACATAAATAATGTTTTCTAGTGGTGAAGAACAACAATTGCTCTCCTTTTCCATTTTGTTTTTCAGTGAGTATCATTTAGTTTCCCTCCTTCTCTATTATTTGTACCCAAAAAATAGACTCAATGCAACTTTAGCTTGCTTCAGAAGACATCCCAAATCACTCACAATTACATCTGTTCATTTCCTCATACCTGACCCCCATCACTTACAGCTGCTATTTCTTGGGACTGCTCACCTGAATGCTGACGATGTCAGAGGAAGTGAGCTTATGGTACCAATGAACAGCATTCAGGAAATATCCAAATCTCTAAACCTCACTGTAACACCCTACAATCTTCCATCTTGGATGCTTTGCAGAGAGTTGGCTGTGTCATTCAGTGGGCATAGTCAGTTACACACTGGGTACAAGCATTCAGCTTGCCTTGATTTGGGAATCAGTTGTAGCCTCCATCTGATGCAGCACTCAGTAGAATCACATTGCAGGCTGAAAATCATCCATGGAAGTGTTTACACCAAAGAAATTGGCAGATGCAGGGCTTCAATCCAGGGCTTCACTCTACTACCTGCCCCAGGGAGTCAACTAATGAGCATTTGCCAGCTCACCACTGCACACAAGTTCAGCAGTTAGGATGTTATGTCTCCTCCTGCACCACCTCCTCTGCATCTATCCATTACCACCTGGGCCTCCAACCACTCAGAGCTCAGATCTGCACTATGGTAGATCAGGCAGCTCTGTGTCTCCTGACAAGACCCAACTCCTGGTCAGGCAATGAAGGAGGCAGCATAAATGACGACACTCTGCTTGTCCTGTGCTTACTTAAACATGTAGAGCTCTTTGCTGGGACTGAAGGATGGATCCTGATGTGGCTTCTGTACAGATCAAACGCTGACTTTGAGCCCTCAATAATTGGACATGGGGCAAGTGACCAGAAGGCCCAGCTGGTCAAGGATTTAGGACTTTCCTGGGATGCAGGGACTTTCCTTGCACAAACCCAGAAAAACCTGTTTGTGGTCACTCTTGGAGAACTTCCATCTGAACATCGTCCTGTTGGATGAAAGGCAAAAAGCACTTCTGGGAAAGGCCTCTTCTGCCCTAAGCAAGAACAGAAAAGGTGGGAAAGGGTGGGAAGAGAGAAGGCCAAAGGGAAGTACAGTGTTTCTGCCCTTGGCCATAAAGTGTGCTGGAATTCCATCCTACACCCATTCAAGAGTTGAATTATGGGACCTCCAGGGCCTCGGGAAGGGAAACTGTAGAAGCTGGGAGCAATGCTGGCCTAATCCCTCCTGGCCATCAGCTCCAGCCACGCAGGAGAATCATTCTATTCCCCTCTGCACATCTCCTACCACCTCCTGCACCCCATTACCACTAGAGCTCAATAAAAAAAGCACAGACAGCCTGGTGACTCAGGCAGCTCTGTTTCCCTTCCACCAGAAACATGTGCCCTGGATTTTCTTTTGACCTGGTTTGCATGCAAATATGGCCTTGATGTTTCCACATTAGACCAATGGGCCCTTCCTAGCTCTAGAGCTGCCACAGCTTGTACTTGTTTAGGTCTCTTTAGATGAACCACTGTGGTAGACACTAACATCTCAACTTTGTAGGAACAATCAATGACCAGAATAATAATGGGCCAATCTTCACGACTCTTCAGCTTGGGTTTGTCTCTGAGGGCAGCACTTTGGTTGATCTCCCAGGTTTCCTGTGGTGCAGTAAGCACAGGGATTGAGTCTCCAGGCCACTGGTTACACAGGGGTTGGGGGCTGCTCTGTGCAGTGCTAAGCACAGCTCATAAGCCTCTTGTCACCTAGCTAATTAACTGTTGTGAAGAATCAGTGTAAGATTTATAAATTTGATCAACTCCTAAGACCTGCTTTCTCCTCCATGCTGTCTTCTGCCACTTCCTGTTGGTGCAAGGTCCTACAGAGGTCACCTGTTGTCATCTTCATGGGCCTCCTGCCTGGGTTAGACTCCTCCCCCTAGCTCAAGCACTTAGCATGAATCTTTCACCACCCTTTCTCAGACAGCTTGGCCTTTCTCCCTCTTCAGATCTGGGACTTTTATGTGGAAGATTCTCTGGCATCATCATTATATTTCCAGCAGTAATCTATACAAAGAGGTGGCCAACAAATACATCATGAGGGCTTGGAACCCAGAGAAACTCTTTACCTCACCTCTTGCTGTACACTATCAAAAAAGAGCTTCATTATGTTTGCCAATGCCCAAGTTATATGACAAAATTATTTGTTAATTCCCTTTGCAAATGCAACTATTTTCTACAACTGGACACCCTGGGGCACCGACCACATTGTTATAAAATAACTATAGCACCATCATACTGTTCTGTATGCGCCATCTTCCTGCATGACCTGATTGAGATGTTAACCATTGTTCCCCTCTGCAAAGGACAGATGTTATCTAAAATTAAGTGCTGAAATTAGCTGACAAAGGACTATAAATTCCTGGGAATCTTCTCTGTCCTCAAGCAAAGGGAAACAAAGGATTTCCTCATTCCTCATCCACATTCATAAATCATTTACTTTGCAATTGTCATTTCTATAAAAGTCTGTCAAAATTTTAAGCTAGTTACACAGCCTTGCAAACTCCAACTGCACCGTGTCACTGGTGCCAGAATAAATAAAAGTGCTCCTTGTTCTTTAAAAAAGACTTCTTGGGGCTGGGGATTTAGCTCAGTGGCATAAGCACCTGCCTTGCAAGCAGGCAGGCGTGAGTTCAATCCCCGGTACCAGTAAAAAAAAAAAAAAAAAAAGACTTCTTGCCCATTTTTGGACACCATTTTGGGGGCTCATTTTTTGGGATACAATACCTCTCCCAAGAAGCTTTAAAGTTAAAGAGGGCACCTCCAACTTCTCAGCATCACCCTGTCCCTCCCCAGTATTGGAATAAGCTAATGTGATTAGAAATACTTGGTATCATTTATTGAGAAGTTACAATATGCCAGGCACTATTGTACACAAACAGTTCCCAAACTTTGTGGCACCAGAGGCCAGCTTGATGGAAGACAATTTTTTTATGAATGAGGAGTTAGGCTCTTTTTCTATTAGTATATGATTGTAATATATACTAATTACATTCCCAGCACTAGCATCACTGCCTCAGCTCCATCTCAGATCATCACACATTAGATTCTCATAAGGAACATACAACCTAAATCCCTTAAATGCACAATTCACAGTAGAGCTCAAGCTCCTATGAGAATCTAATACCACTGTTCATCTGACAAGAAGCAGAACTCAGGTGAGCTATGGGGAACAGCTGTAAATGCAGACAAAGTTTTATTTGCTAACCCACTGTTCACCTTCTATTGTGGCCTGGTTCCTAACTGGCCCAAACTATTATCATTCTAGGGTCCTGGGATTGAAGATCCCTGATATATGCAAGCACTCTCTGGATTAAGTCCTATTAAGAACATTCTCATCTTGCAAATGATGAAACTAAAGCACAGAGAGGTTAAGACACCCTCCTAAACTGACATATCTCTAAACCAGGGAAGTAGAGGTCCGAGCCCTCCTGGCTGGCTTTAGATCAGCTTGCTCACACTGTCCTCTTGTCTCTGTATCTCAAACAGCTGCATATTGAATGGATGACCAGAGTTCCAGAATGGTCCTGCCAAGTATAACCTTCTGAGATTTTGGATACACTATACCTGCACTACCCAGTCAGGACCCACTCGCTATATGTGACACTGAACTCCTGATGTGCAGCCACTGTGATGGAAAACTGAGTTTTTAAAATTTTACTCATGTAAATTTAATTAGCCATATATGGCTGATGACTATTATATTGACCAACGTAGCTTCAGGAGGTAAAGGATATATTTTAATTATCTTTCTAAATGTCTTAGCATGTAGCCTATGTCCAAAACTCCAAAGCAGGAGTTTTTCTAAGTGAGTCTTAGTATCCTCCTGCACAGGGAAAGCACCCAACTGCCAGCTTGCAGTGACTATGCAGTAAACTCAGGCTTTCTGATCACCTAAAGAATGCACAGTTCTGGTTTTCTCCTGCACAGGGGACTTGGGAAGATTGAACACTCAGGAGAGACTGGAAAACCAGAGCTGGCAGCTAAGGCATGGGAAGGGAGCTCTCTGCATCAACACCTATTCTGTGCTAGAGTTGGTATTGGCTATGATCTTATCCTAAAAACCACTGGTGCCCTATCTAATAGTAGTCCCTTCTACCCCGAGGAAAACTCAGACGTTAAAAACCTTTTTTAACATGGTACTTGTATCACCTTGCCCACTTGGAAAGAAAGAATATGTTGTCAGCTGGTTCGTCCTGGCCCTAGATTGCAGTGTTAGTTGGAAACTGTTTCATCTTATTTCCATGGTGGCCTCTGTCCAGCGGCAAAGAAAAGCATTTAAGAATGACCACCTGTTAGAAGAAGAGATGCATGCATAATTGTTGCTCCATAGTACCTCGAAGCCTGTGGTTAGAGTCATTACCTGAGTTAAAGACCTGTTTTTATTTTTACTTCTTGTTTTGTGCCGAGGATCAAACCAGGAGCCTTCACACAGAGCTACCTCCTCAGCTCTTTTTCTTTTAATTTAAGACAGCATCTTGCTAAGTCACTAAGTTTCCCAGCATGGGCTCAAACTTGAGATCCTCCTGCCTCAACTCCCACCCCTTTTGAGCACTGTACCACCATGCCCAGCTCCAGCCCTCTACTCTGGCTTCTTTGTGCTCTCCTTGTCTAGAGCTGAGCAATCAATACAGGAGCCACACACAGCTATTGATCTCATGTAAGTGGCTCACTAAGATATACTACAGCTAGAAAATACACTGACATTCAAAGATTTAATGTAAAAAACCATAAAATATCTCCTTAATAATTTCCACATTGATTTTGTTAAAATGATTATATTTCGGGTTTACTGGCTTAAATAAATTTTATTAAAACTTTTTGTTGTCATTGTTGTTCCTTTTGCCTTTCGAGCATGGCCAACAGAATGTCTGGAATTACCTACGTGGCTGGCATCGCACTTTTGGACAGACTGGCCTGAGAAAGGACTGCATGCTTGAGTCTGCAGAAAAGAGCCAGTGACTGGTTAAAGCCCCTTCGGCCTGAGAAGACATCCTCCCCACTGACGTCCACACAGAAACAAGAATGAAGCCAGCAAGGAGTGAACATGGCTTTGACTTCAGCCTCCCTCTGGCCCCTCTGGGCTCTGGCAAAAGTGACACAATTTTTTCCAGCACTGGAGTATCTCTGCCTTAAGCAGCACTATCATTTCTTTCCTGAGTAAGATGCTTTGGCACTCTGCAGAGGATGCCAAGTGATGAAACTGTGCCACAGAAAAATGACCCACTGTCTCCAAGACTGTTCCCAAAGGCGATGGGCAGACCAAGCACAGCAGACAGTCTGCTGAAGAGCCAACTACCCTGAACAGCTTGGAAATAACTTTTCCAGCTGATGATCTTTACAGTAAGTGCCCAGTTTCAATACTCAGGTTTATGGGAAGAGAATGGAGGAATCATAGTGCCAAATAGTTCCAGACCCTGCCTGTGATCACAGCATTGCCCCATTTCCTGACTTATTTTCTCCCATGGGAAACGAGGAGTGCGATAGCACTTCTCTTTGATGATTAGAAGTGTTATGTTATGTGTCTTTCCCTCTCCCCTCCTTCTAGCCAGCACACTCCTTTCTCTGTGCTGCCTTTACACTGGTTTCCATAGTAACCACCTCTATTGTATCCCTGACTGTGAAGAGAAATCATGCAGATGTTCATAAGGATCCAACACCTTCCCGTAGCTATTGGGATGCACAGTCCCTTTAACTCCCTGTGTTAATTTTCCTGCCATTTTCTTCTCTCTGGAGCTGCTCCTTCCTCGAAGTACATGCAAGCTCCAGAAGGCTCCTCTTCCCTGAGAGAGAGGCAGGAGAAAAATGGAGAGGCTGCAGAAGAGGCAAAGGTTTCATTAGAAATCTTAATCCTTCAAGTGGCTTCTGACAGAAGGACAGGCACCAGCCCCTAAACCCAAAGCACTCAGGGACCCTCTAGAATCAAAGGTACCTGGCCCTGGCGGGTAAGGGCAGTTCTCCGATCACCCTCTGACAAGCTCCCTTATCTGGAAACTTACAGAATAAACAGCAACAGCCTTGGCATCTTCACACCAAATTCCACTGACGACCCTAACTTCTGAAGACCTCACGGCCACATCTGTGGGTATGAATGTCTGTCTTTATTCTGTGCGTTTCCTTTGACAAAACCAGCCATCTTCCTTTACTGGTTTGGAGGGCAGGGCAGAGATAGAAATACAGTGTGCCCCAGCACACGTGCATGCACACACACATACACACACACACACACACACACACACACACACACACGTCAGGGCTTTGAAGATACAACAGTGGAAGTGCCTACCATCCCTGCCAAGGCCAGGCTCAGCTGGTGACCTGGGGAGGTGATAGGAAGGGGAATCATCAGTCATCTGCCAAAAGTGTTTGAAGATGCTTAGCCGCTGTGCCTCCTAGGAGCTGGACATTATTCTTTTGATTACACAAGCCTGACAGCCTGACCATAATAAACACATAGCTGAGGAGAACCTATTCCTTTCCAGCCACATTATTTATTCACCTCCAGCAAAGGCCGGGCTATATTTAGCAGATGATGTCAGTGGGTTGTTTGGATTCTTGGAAATTGGCAGGAAGCCACCTCTCACATGATATATGAAATCACTGATAAATGTTTCTTTTCACTAAAAGAAAAACAGCTTAATAAATACAGCCCTTTTGTGCTTTCATCTTCCCTCCCTCCCTCTCCTGCTCTGTCCTCCCTCCTAGCCTGCCCCCTTCTTTCTCTTCCTCCTCCTCCTCCTCCTCCTCCTCCTCTTCTTCCCGCTGCTCCTCCTCCTCCTCCCTGTCTGCCACGGCTGGGACTTGTCTTCCCGAGGCATAGCTCAGCAGAGACCGTGAAGTGGAAATGAGTTGCTCAGCATCACAGATCAGAATGAGGCTGCTGGGATGCTCGGCCGTTTTTCCCCCCTTTCTTCTAGCCTGGAAGACTGCCAAAGCACTCGTGAATCAGATGCACACACACAAAAAGGCAAATCTCTACAGCAGTGACTTTATGGGGCCGGGTATTTATGGTACAGCCTCGATCTGGGTTGCTGTTTTGCAGGCAAAGATGGGAAATAGATAGTGATTCAGTATTGCCATTAAGTGTGAAAACAGCCCCTGTACAGATTGTGTGCAATAAACCAAGGACAGAGAGGCGCTGTAAGAAGCTGTGGATCTGCCGCACCCGATCAGCCCCGCAGCCCATCAAGTTCAAGCTCCCAGTATGTGCAGCGGTTAATACCTGGTGCCTGGAACACATCTTCCAGCTTTCCCTCTGTCTGCCCTGTCCTGCACTGAGTCCATTATACAAAGCTGTGGAGGGGTGAGGGGGGGTGTGGGGGTAGAATTAAATTATTTCCTGCCCTCCTGTGGAGATCAGTTTGTATGGCCTGAAGCACAAGATTTAATTGCCCCTCTCTTAGCTCATGTAAAAACCAACGTCACTACTGCTCCTGGGTTGTCTCAGTCCCCCTCATAGTTAGCTGTAATACTTAACTCAGTGACCCATCGCAGGCCACAGGAAATGGGAAAGCTGCAGCTCCCAAGCATGGTTTATTTACATTTATTTGTCCTTAGCTTTCATCTGGCTGCCCCAGCTCTGGCATTGGAAGATGCCAAGAGGACAGGGAAGGCTCGTATTCAGCCCTTTGCTAATTTGGATATTTCCACAAAGCTCTCTTCTCACATATTCAATGTCAGGGATTCAAAGTCCTGGCAGATGTGGTACCCGCCACGGCGTGCGAGGAGGAACTTAAAGAATTCCAAAGCATCACCAGGATACTGACAGCAAGTGGGCTTTCTCTTTCATCCATGCATGCACCAAGCTCTGCTAGAATGCAGATAGAAAAACAAAAAGGAAAGAGAAGGAGTAAGGAAAAACAAGGCTGAGCTTTTGTGTATGTGCCTCAGCTTCTTACTGGGGAAAGGAGTAGATGGATGAAAGCATGCGGATGTCAGTGAATGAATCAGATAGACATCTTGCAAAATGAACCCTGGCTGTAGTCAAAGCTTTCTTCAAACCAGTCTTCTAGTTAGCATTTATTTAGGTCTCCCAAACAGGGATTGCAGATGAATGGAAGATTTTACTTAAACTAGGGTTTTGTCTTTCTTAAAATGAGGGCACTGAACCCACATGATCTGCTAGATTTCTCCCAGCCTGTGAAACTGTAAGGCTCTGAGACTGAGTCATTCCTGGAAGTACCTACTCTGTGGCCCCCAATGATTCAAGCCAGTTCTCCACCTGGAGGACTAGAATGCCAACGCTGCCCCTCATCTGGACAAAACTTGCCACACTGAGACCAAGTTCCTCTGTGAGCTCTCAGAGGGGCCGGAATCACATTTGTAAAGATGGTGGTGATCTCTGTTTTATGTGAAAAACACTTCTGGTGCAAGCTGCTCAGGAAACTGACTTCCACTTTTCCCAGTCCCAGATCCCACCCAAAAGAGGGCTGGGGCATCCAGTACCATATGATGGGGGCAAATCACCCACTTCGATACTACGGTAGCTTCCCTGGGAAGCAGCAAGCTTAGGCTAGTGGCACCCCTGGAAACCCCGCATTTACTGTGACTGTTCAAGAGCATAGTCCAAAACTATCTCAGGACTCCAGATTTCTAAGGATGCTTCAGTGAGGATCTCCAGAGAAGCAGACTTGATAAACTGTGTGTGTCTGTTGTGTGATGTGGGGTCACAGAGAGGAAAAGGGACAGATAGGGAGAAAGACAGAGAAAATATGACATAAGGATTTCTCCTGTGATTATGGAGGTGAGCAAGTCCAAAGTCTGCATGGCAGACCAACAGGCTAGAGGTCCAGAGAGGAGCTGATCTGGCAAGTAAAGTCTGCTGGCACCCTTTCTTCTTTCTTCATTCTATTCCAGCCTTCAGCTGATTAAACCGGGCCCATTCATTCTACAGGAGGTGATCTGCTTTACTCAAAGCCCACTTATTTGAATCACAATCTCACAGAAGCACCCAGAATAATGTTTGATCACATATCTGGCACCCTAGCCCAGCCAAGTTGACATACAGTTAACCACTACCACAGTGAATCTTGGTGTGCTAACAGGCCCTTAGTAGAGAGCAGTGCACCACTTTACAGAAATTAAAGTATGATTAATAGATAGTCTCAACTCTATAAAGGCAGCTCGTATTTATCAGGATCTTTAAGGCACCATCATCCCCCAAACCCTCCATTGCTTTCTTCCAGATACCTTAGCAATGGTCTCAGAAAAGACCTGGGACCCTGCAAAACACCTTCACTTCCATTTTCTCCTTGATCCTCACCATAGCCAGCTTTCATCCTCAGCTCAGAGACCAGAGAACTCAAGCAGAGCCATTGGCAACGTGTCTCAGGTCACACAACTCATCCCATTGTCACTGGACCCTGAAGGCTCAAAGCTGCAGCTCAGTGAGTAGACACGTTATGACCTTTACCCATCCCTGCCTCCCACACCCTCTCCTCTGACCCCAAGCTGCACCCCCACATACCTCCACTCCCACTATCTGGAGAGTCATCAGTCACCCTCAATTGGGATAAACGAAGGCAGCAAAAAGATATTTGTATGGAGATTCAAACACAGGAAATGGAAAGACCACCACCACCACCACCAAAAGTAAACACAATGAGGGCAGATTTCCAGAGAGCAAGATCACAACTGAGGACTCGTATCTTAGCTCACCAAGAGGCCCTGGCTGGCTTGCCCCAGAGCACAAGGGTGTTCCTTTTGGTTTGGTCCCTATGTGGTGTGCTTGGGCCCTATGATCCACTAGATGTGGGAAGTACATGCATTCCATAATTCTCCAGTGGAGTCAGGAGCAGTGGAGAAGAAGAATGGCATTCTGGCCTCAGGTACCCCCAACCAAAGAGAAAAGGCCAACTGGTCAACCAAGCAGTGCTAACCCCAGGACCACGTGCTGCCCTGGCTGCCACGTGCTGCCCTAGGTGTAGCAGCAACCTTGGGTCCTGACAGATTCACCACCTACTTTGCCCTATCTGGCAGTTTCAGAAGGAAAACATGACCCAGAGCTGAAAGAGTAAGACACAACTGGGAGGGGCTGGGGATTTAGCTCAGCGGCATAAGCACCTGCCTTATAAGCAGGCAGTTGTGAATTCGATCCCTGGTACCAATAAAAAGGAAAAAGACAAAAAAAAAAAAAAGACACAACTGGGGGAACAGATGAGAGTAGCCAGGCTGGGGGCACAGCCACAAAAATTCACAGAGGCTCCGAAGCTCTCAATTCTGCTGGTCTGAAGAATGCATGGTGTGATCAGAATATACAGTGAATGTTTACCTTTTAAAATTTATTACAATAAACAACATTGCCACTAATCCCTCAAAATACTATCCCTCTCTTTGAATATATCCCATCATTCTTGTTGCTTTCTGAAGCAGTTCTGGGTGTTATCTTTTATGACAGTCCTAGTGAGATGTGACCAAGCCCTTATGTGATGCTTGTGAACGCTATCCACTGGCCGGGCAGAGTCTTAAAAATACCACACTGCGGCTTAATCCATTGATACACTGAATTGGGCACCATGTGAGTTCTGGCTCTTCCCCAAAGTCAAAATGACCATGAAAGGTAAATATTTTGAATTGATTCAGGACTCTGAGGCAGCCATGGCACACAACTAAAGACACCTGTGAGAGTGGACTTCCAGAACTGTCTCTGACAGTGGCAAGGTAAGTGTATTTGAAGTAAGGGGAAGTATGTTGAGGGAGACTAATGGCAAGGAATTTGTTACTGTAATAATTTTTTAAATTTAAACATTCACTACATTCTTCCATCACACCACATACAGAATCTGTGCAGGGGCCAACAGGCACCGATGTTTCAATGAAGAGGATGGAGGGGCCCCCTAGAAAGGCCCCCTTTTGGATAGTGTCAGCCTCTCTGAAGTTTGCTAGGCAATGTAGGCAAGTCTTCAAAATGTTCCAGGTAGTTACTGATCCCTAAGAAGGAGTCAGAGGCTGCTTCTTGTTCCTGATCTCAAGAATTTCTAATCCAGGGGAGGTGCAAGGTGAAGTCTCTGACACACCGGTGGCCACCCTCTGGAGGAAGCAGAGTGGCCGTGAGAGCACGGGAGCACATGTGGAGAGAGGTGGTGAGGGGTGGGATTAGGGGCTCCCAGAGCAGACTTGTAAAGCAAGAAAAGCAATTGCTTTCTGCTGCTGAAGTGGGCCTGGCAGGCTGTGCTCAGTGACCTTGCTCTGAGCCTCTGTCCTTTTCCTTCAAGGGCACCAAGCACAACTTCACCCACTTTCTGTGACTCAGTGGACTTTTATTCCCTTTTGGTTGGGAGCCATTAACTCCTTTTCAAAGCTGAGTTTTGCCTTCCGTGGCTGGATCTGGTCTGTCCCCGAGTACCAGATCCAACCAGCCTTTCAGATCCTCCTACATTGGAGTTTGTCTAAATCTATTCCAACTCCTCCACCTAATACAACCTATAGGAGGAAGATATCCCAAGAAAGGCTTGAATCACAGGGATGTTGAATGTAAGGTTTTGTATTAAAGGCGCCTCCTTATTTCTGCTCATGCTGGCAGTTTATTATGAATCCCTTTGAGCACACTCATTGTCCTTGCAAGAGGCTCACTTGAAGTGTCGATCTGTGTGCCTAGGATGGGACTCTGGAGCAAAGATGGTCTTTCAGTGCATCTACTGCAAACACAGTGACCCCACACAACCTATCTTCTCCCTCGCACAGTTGAGGAGATAGACACACAACGTTCTGATCTCAAAAGCAAATTATGGTGAGGAATTAGTGTGAAATTACTCTGTTCCTCCCAGAGCTCCTTTTAAGTGTGAAGCAGCATCTAGGGTGAAAGCTGGCCTGTCAAACAAGCCCATTCAAGCTTGCAATTCTGCTGTCCTCTGCCCGGCGGGCTTGTGATAAAGAGCAAGGATTAAAAATATCTGCCAAAAATAGTGCCACTGAGAAGCCCAAGCCACAGCAGGCTTGGGAGCCAGCGCCGCCCACTGCGCTGCCCTCTGCCATGGGATGGCTGCCTTGCGGGCCTGTTCCCACAGAGATAGCGTGTTCTGGAGTGGGTGACCTCAGGTTTCAGCACCAAAGAGACGCAGAGAGGAAGGGCAGCAAAGAGCAGCATGTGCGAATCACCAGAGAAAGGGAAGGGAGAACAAAGTTTACACTGCAGACCTTGACTTTGCAAAGAGCATGTTGAGACAGCGCCACGCAGACAGGTTTGCTGCAGGCCTGGGCCTTTCCAGGGCTGCTGAAGCCTGGAGATTCATCTAGAAGGAATACAACCAGTCACCTTCTTCCGGGTGCCTGGGGTCCCTGCTCATCTCCTCCTTCTGGGCCTTCAGTGCCCCTGGTGCTACCCCGGGGACAGGAAGAGGGAGTGCCCCTCAGAAGCCAGAGCCGTGTAGCCCGTGGGAAATGGAAGCAGATCTGCCAACTGGTGAGCTGCTGAGAAGGCCACAGAGCCTGATAGCAGGTGTCCTAGATGATAGGTGACACTTTCCTGGCTCTGTGACCAGCTCAGAAAGAGGCTGTGGCAGAGGGCAAAGGTAGGCTGACTTTTTAGCTCTGTATCCCTGCTCTAGGGGACAGAAGGGGACCTGAAGATACCCATCCCCATATTGAGTGTTCTCAGAGGCCGGAGGCCTCATCGTCACCCAGACTCAGTCTTTGCTGTTACAGATGACATGCACTGTGCTGCTGGTGGGAACAACGTAACCACCTGGCAGGTGAGCATCGTGGACTCCAGCTCCAGAGTGAGGCCTGGGGTCTCAGGGAGCTTAGCACATGAGCCCCATTAGCACTGTTAGGAAGGGGCTATGCCAGGAGCCAGAGCCAGGTGGCTGGGTCTAAGTCCAGTGGCATCCATGAAAGGAATTTCCCCAGCCTTCCAGAAGCAGGACTCTCAGGCCAATGTGATCTGCTTTCACATCCCCACGTGGAGATTTGTTCCCTCCTTTCTCCTTGGCCATCACCCACTTGCCATGAGGAACACCGTCTCATATCACCAACTAGAATTTAAAGTGGTTGCAAACATTTACCTAGAATCTATACACGAATGATCAAAGTATACAGTGAATGCTTAAATTTAAAATGTTTATTATTGTAAAAGACACATTGCCATTAATCTACTTCAGAATAGTCCCTTCCCTTGGTACATATTTATCCATTGTTCTCACCACTTTCTGAGAAGTTCTGGAAATCCTCTCTTGTGAGTGTTTTCATGAAACCTGATCAAAAATATAGTGAATGCTGCTGCCAAATGTCATCTAATCAAAAGGCAGGAAATCCTCATCCACCTTATTCACCAATCTAACACTACGCAACTTCTGGATCTTCCCAGAAGTCTAAATGACCATGAAAGGTACATATTTTCAAATCAGTTCAAGATATCCAGGTAGCAACGAGGGTGCAACAAAAGACACCCAACAAAAAAGGACTAGCAGAACAGCTTCAAAAAGTAGCAAGAACAATAGAATAAATGTGTTTGAAGTGAAAGGAGATATTTTGAGGAGAATTAATGGCAATGCATCTTTTACTGTGGCAAATTTTACTCTAATTTAAATGTTCGCTTGTTTTTTACCACATAGAATCTGATTTGCATTTTACTTCTGTAGACCCCAGATGAACCACTGAAGGGGAGTCGAGAATTTCCAGGTAAACTCTCCAGGTTCTCACAGGGGCCACCACAGCCTGCAGGCTCTCTTTTGCTCCACAGCCCCAAAGACAACAGTAATAATCTGTTATTATTATTAAATTTACACCGTTCCTTCAGTGACCATTCCAGAGTTTCTTTAGCTTGGTACTTCTGCACTGGCTAATTAGAACACTCACCTGGGCCTGGCCACCTTCCTCCTGTCACCTCTTTCCTGTCACTCACAGTAGACTCCTGCAAGCTGGCCTATCTCTGGGGAAACTTCCCCCAGGACCTCTGTCTTTGGCATCCTTTAACAGCTGTCACACTGTCCCAGTTGTTTTTCAAGAAGAAAGTCTCCAGGGCTTCATGGAGGCAGACTTGCACTTGACCCTCTGTGCTGATCTGTTCACTTGAATCTCCCCCAGAAAGATGCCAAAGGCAGGAGCCCATGGGGGGTCCTGGCAACCTCTTGGCCTCATAGTTCATCACCTGTTGTTTCTAGCCAGAGCACACGTTAGGACCTGCAAGGATTTCAGAGTTTCCTGCAAAGCAAATCTCTCTGGAGGTGCTGAGACATTTTGTGTACAGACCATCTCTGGGCCCACAGAGCCATCTGTCAGCACAGCATGGAAGGGATGACAGGGTACTGTGTGCCTGAGGCTGGTGTGAGGGAGAAATCATTAGATCACTCAGCACTGGGGCCTGAACGTCATTGCCAAGTGCTTCTCACTAACCTATTAACTATTACTCCAAAACAGCCATGGGAGGTGGAGAGGAATGGTACTGCTTTTGAGAAAAAGGAAGCTAGCAGCAAAGCCATGTCTCAGGGACACACTTGTGGAAGGGAGGTGCCAGACTTCTGCAGTGAAACACCACGGGAGCCACCTCCTCCTTCACTCCTGGCCCCCTGGGTACCCGGTGGGCTCCCTGGAGGGAAGAGTTTTGAAGCATGGCTTTCATCTAGAAGTTGTCTAAAACGTTAACTTGCTGTGACACAGGGTCCCTGTTGTTGTCACCTAACCCCAACCCGCCCACAGAAGTAAGTGAGCCTCAGCAAATCACAGAGTATGTTTGCACCTGATCAGCGCAGAGAGAAGTCTCCCAGGCCTCATCCACCCCCGGGGCCAGCTTTGAAGAAAGATGCATTTTTAAAC